GTTAAGCATGTAATAAGTGGTTACTTTGACATACCACCAAATATTTTTTACCACTTGAAATTGCAAGGAGGTTGCTTGCAACTCCAACTACATATGCCAAATCCGGTCGAGTGTGTGTCAACTACCTCAAACATCCCACCACTCGACTATATTCGGTCGGGTCAACTTTTTCACTGTTTTCATCTTCATTAACCTTTAACTTAGGTTCCATATGTGAAGTTGACTAGTTGCACTCTAGTAACCCGAATTGCTCCAAAAAAAAATTGTGTATTCAGTTTGTCATGAAGAAATTCCTCTTTCTTTTGCAACACTTCTATTCCAAGATACTAAGAAATAAGGGTGAGCATTTGGACAAAAGCAAACCAGTTTGGCAGAAATTGGTGGACCTTGGACCAAACCTGTTGAGGCCGGTCCAGATCCGGATCCAGGTCTGGGTTTTCCCATTCTTGTACTCGTTGGACTGTTACAACTTTAGGTACATATTATATAGCTTGTTGAAGCCTACCAAAAATTAGTTTATCTAATATGATTGTAAGGATGAGTATTTGAACTGAACTGGACCGGAACCGGACGAGATCGAATCTAGGATCCAATAAGTTTTCTAGAAATTTGTGGACCTTGAATCAGACCGGCGCTTGGATCGGTCGAGTTTTGTAGAAATTGGTGGACTTTGGACCGCACCTGTTAAGGCAAGTCTGGGTCCCTTCCGGTCCAGAGGTTCAAATGCTCCCCCTAGTAGGAAAGTAAACCCAAATCACTCATTTCGAATTCTTTTTCATTTGTTCCTTTAATTAGATAATTTCTTCGTTGTTTGATCCCGTAATGATCAAGTCGTCGACATAGTCACCAACTAAAAGAGTTTTCCTTCCGGTTTCCTTTTTTATACTGTCGTGAATTATGATCATTTTGAACAACCAAGTCGTTTTAGTATTTTATCCATACGAATAATCCAAGCTCAAGGAGCTTGTCGTAAACCATAAATCGCCTTGGAGAGTTTAAGCACCTTGTGACTATGTACTTTGTCAACGTACCCTTCCGGATTACATACATATACCTCCTCTTTGAGATCTCCATTAATAAAAGAGGACTTAACATATAAATGGTGGATAACCCACCCATGTGGAGTCGCTACGGAAAGAATGAGCATTATGGTCTCAAGTTGCGCTACCAGTGCAAAAACTTCATCAAAATTGACTCCTTGTTTTTGTACATAACATTTTACTACAATTCGAGCTTTATGCTTTATCATATTTCCAATATTTTTTTTTCACTTTAAAGACCCATTTCAATCTAATTGCTTTGTGACCTAGTTGCAAGTTGGTAAGCTTCCACGTCTTGTTTTTCATGATTGCGCCAACTCCATTTGCATGGCCTCCCGCCATAGTTAAGAGGTAAACGCCTCTTGAAAATCAAGGGTTGATCCAATGCAATCATAAAAAATTCTCCGATTTTTAGGATCATATTTTCAACATCATTATAGATATCGAAAAGTGAACGAAATCCTTTTTTCCCAACCTCACTTGAAGGGCTTAACATTTGGTCAAGATTGAAGAAATCAGGGCGGAAATAGGAGTATATGGGATTGTTTCGGGCTGGATAGATTCCACATAAGTTTCAGAGTTAACTTCGAGGATGTCCGTCTCGATTATTATGAAGGTAGGAGTTGTGACTTCCTCTTATTTGTTTTTGTACCAATTCCATCCTTCACTTTCAACAAAAACAACATCACAACTATCCTGTAATTTTTGGCTGTACAAATCAAATAACCGATACCCGTTAGTTCCATCTTCTACCCCAATATACAACATATTTTTTCTTAGTCCTTCAAGTTTCTTCAAATTTACACCTATAACTTTGGCATAAACAACACAACCAAAAACCTTCAAATGTTCAAGGTTTGGTTTCATGTCAAACCAATATTCATACGACGTGATGTTGGGGAGTGCTTTTGTAGTTAAGCAGTTGAGAAGATAACCCGTGTCTCTAACAGTTTCTCCCCAAATTTATCCTAATACATTTTTTCCTTTAAGTAGACTTTGTTCCATATCTATACCGATAAAATTTCATCTTTATACAACTCCATTTTGTTGAGGCGAATGTGGAGTTGTAAGATGCCTTTTTACTCTATTTTCTTCACAAATATTGAGTATTCTTTTGATGTAAACTCTCCCCCTGAATTCGTACGAAGTGTCTTCAATTCAAAACCCAAACCTTTTTTGACCCTCAACTTGAATCCTTTGAAGGCACCCGAGGTTTCAAACTTCCTAGATATATTATAAACTCACATCAACCAACTATAATCGTTTACCAAAAGAAAAAAGTATTTGCTTCCTCCAATAGAGTTGGGTGTAATCAGACTACATAAGTACGCATAAGCAAGTTGAAGTCTTTTTTGAACTCGAAAGAGTGTCTTGTTCGGGAAAGAGATTCGGGTTAGTTTTGCAAAAATACACCCTTCACACAGTTAAGTTGGAGGTTCGATCCTTGGAACTCCGGTTTCCATATTCCTTTCATACAATGTTTTTAAGGTGGAAAATTAATGTGACAAGTCTAGAATGTCATATCTAAGCCAGTTCGTCCTTCATGGCTAAAAAGGCATGTTGGTCTACCGGTTCTCAATGTAGTTTTGTATAAACTATTTGGTGATCTTTCAACTCGCAAAAGTAGAACTTTATTGTTATCGTATAACATCAAAACCGACCCATTCATAATGACTTAATTTCCTTTTTTTGTCATTTGTCCAAGACTAATGATGTTATTTTTAAGAGTTGGAACGTAATACACTTCATTTAAAGGTCGTTGATCATTATTTTTACAATCAAACAAAATCGACCCTTTTCCGAAAGTAGCAACAGTGGAACCGTCTCCAAATCTCATGTGACCCGTAATATTTCCATGCAACTCATAGAACTTTGAGAGGTCCCCCCATCATGTGGTTGCTGACACTGTTTTCGAGATACCACATCTCTGACTCAACTCGACTCTCCCCCAATGCAAGAAGATTAATATAAATCTCCTCTGTTAGCGATACCTTTTCGGGTGCATATTCTTTTGTGCTTGCCATCATTAAGATGGGTACTTATGCATTGGCTTACGTGAGGTTCGCCTCCTAAACGCGGTTCTTTTCTAAGTATTCCAATGCATAGTGACCAAAATTCTCACATTAAAAGCATTTTACTTTTCTTTTATCCTTTTTATGGTCATTTTGTTACGCATTGGATTCATGACCACGACCTCGTCCTCCACACCTTCCTTGGCCTCAACCACCATGACTATTTCTATCCATTGAGGTGTTTGATGATGTCCCTTTGTCGCTTTTCCTGGATCGTGATGCCCGTTTGGCTTATGTAAGTAACAAGGAAGGTCTGCCTCCTTGTTCGTCATAACCCCGAAACATCTCTTCATGGGTTTTTAACGACCCACAACCTCTTCCACAATCATGTTTTTTAAGTCTCCAAATTGTTCGATAGATATTACTATTTTCATAAATCATAATGGGAAGGATCGAAGAAACTTCTTCACCACCACAGCTTCCTCAATTCTTTTGTCCAAAGATTGACTATCGGTCATAATTGTATTTAATCTCATGAAAAAAATCATCCACCAATTCACGTCTTTTATTCGGATAACCTCAAAGTTAATTCTCAAGCTTTATACTTGAGCCTCTTTTACTCGATCGGCACCCATGTGCATCACTTTAAGCGTGTCCCACGTTTCTTTAGTTGTGTCCTTCTCAACTAATATATAGCACTTCTTCTAGAATTACTTGATAGATAGCCGCTAGAACCATTCGATCTTTCCATTATTTTACATTTTCATTTTGAATCGCATCCACACTATTTGTGCTCACAAATTCACTCGTATTTTTGTAGCCTATACCAAGTAATTTACCTTTGTAAGGATCTGATAATGTAGCATAATGCTACCATTTTTCATCTACTATCAACCTTGGATATACTTTCAACATACAATAACTAGATTTCGGTTGCTGGAACTTACTTATCTAATTGTATGCAATATTAAAGGTGATTTATTGCTCATAGTATGAGCAGCTAAAAATGTAAAGAGGAAAACAATAAAATAAATGTGATAAAAGTTTTTACAAGCATAAAGCTTATGATTTTTATTGAAATAGAGATAGAAAGTTACATTTGGATTACAAAAAATAACTGACCACCACACAAATATATAGCCTAGGAATACTAATATTAAAATTGGAAAGTAATTGGTCAATATTTAGACATAACCCATAAATCATATAAATCCTAGAAAGTATGTATATTTCTACCATATATATTAAACTAATAAAAACAAGGACATGAGTCACTTGCTTTACCTAACAAAGAAGTTGAAAGTTGTACTAAACAATTGTACCCAACAATTATTTATTAAAGAAAATTATTTATTAAAGAAAAGTCTATCCGGTTAAAAACAAAAAAAGATAACCTTCCCGGTAGGGAAAGGCCATAGAGGCACACGGAGGCCATGGCCGCTGTTTTTTCACATTGTTCACACAAATATTAACAAATATTAGCGAATGCATCTAGTATCCGTTCTAATTATCTATTCTTTATAGATTTATAATAAAAAATCATACATTCTATTATTATATAAAATGCTAATATATTTTTTTCTCATTATTATTTTAAGTATGTATTTTAGACGCAAGCTTTTAAATGGTGAGATTTAAAAACGTATTGTTATTTTTTTTACATAAATTAGTATATATATATATATATATATATATATATATATATATATATATATAGATATATATATATATATATATATAGAACTAGGTTCATTTGTTTAAAGTAAGTATTGTGTTATTGTATACATAAATATGGACCAATCAAAATTAAACAAAAAATTAAATAATTAAATAAATAAATAAGGGTAATTTAGTAATTTGTTTAGTAACTTCCAAAATTAATCCCTATAATCATGGTATTGACCTAATCTCTCCAATTTAAATCTCGTTCCCGATCTGCAAAATTAGAATGGACTACAAAATCGATCTTGAGTTCTACCAAAATCGATTGCCATCGCCATCTCCAACTCCATCACGTCGACCGAATCCGATTCGCAATTCCCCAAGCCTCTGTAATTTGTTGCGCAGACCACTCACTAGTTCCCCAATAAAACGCCCAACCTTTATCGATCACATGATTCATAGCCCTAACTGTTTCCTAAATCGGCGTTTGCAAATCCGGTCGATGACAATAAATCATATCGACATACTCCATATCCAGTCGTTTCAAAGAAGCTTTAGTCCCCTCGATGATATGTTTCCTGGATAAGCCCTTGTCGTTGGGTCCCGGACCTCCCCAAAACAGCTTAGTAGACACAACGAAGAGCTCCTCTTTGGTCCATTGTTCGTCATCGGCGGTCCAATCAAGGGGAAGAAGAATGGATCGAAGGCAGATCGGAGAGCAGGTGGGGGATCAGCCGCCCTTCATCACGTATGTTTCTTTTTCCGCTTATAGTTGCTTCACCTTTTTTTGTTTTTTTTTTTTCTTGTTGATTTCTTGTTGAATCTCGATTATATCCTGCAAACTTGTTATGGGATTGATTGTTCCTGGAATCAGTTTTTTAGAAATTGATTTATGTTCCAGGTAATTTTTTTGTAATTGATATATTCTCTTGGTGAATTCCAATTTCAACAGGTGTGTTTCTATATAAGTTCTTGATTTGTTCAAGACAAGTGAATTACAAGCTTTTGAATGGTGTTACAGTTATTAATTTGATGTATAGGTGTGTGAGCACCAGGTGTTTGACGATTTGTCTGAGAGAAATAATTTATTTGTCGTAAAGTGTCATATTCTTTTCTTAGATTATTGCTTTCACGATACAATATCCTTATACGTTTTTTGGTAATGCTTAGATCTTTTAGTTTCAAATCTTATTACTTGCTGTTGTTTAATTTCAGAGGAATCGAGTAAAGAGCAATTTGGAAGAACTTAATCATATTTGCACTGCTACAGATGGTGGCGAATTCCGATTCTGTGGGAATTAAATCTCGATATTTCCTTTGTGATTTGTGTATTTTCTATGATTGCAGTTCTATCGGTATAGAATCACGAATTCCAATTCTACTGGAATGGAATCTTGAATTCTGATTCTGTCAGAATATAATCTTGAAGATAAACATTGTATGGGATGAAGATGAACAATGACCACCAATCTTCCAAAAAGAATGGATTATTCTACCATAATAATATAGAATGTATTGAAAAAAATATATGTAATAGTATATTCTGGTAGAATGATTTATAATTGTGTTTTTTTGTTATTAATAAGTGTAACATTCTCATGTAATTCTTAACAATTGTTACCCGTATTCTATAAGAAATTATGTATTTTTTGTTTTTATTCTTCAATTGATTGTTCAAAAATTTGTTATTCTACAAGAAGTTGTTAAAGTCATGATCAAGAAATAAGTTCAAGAATATTTTTATTATTTATGGTCTAAGAATATTTTTATTTTGAAATATACTCATAAACATATTCTGTCAGAATGTCCGAATTAAAAGAATTATAATTCGTAAAATCGGATTTTTAAAATTAATAAAATCTATGATCCCTTAAAAAATGCAATTTTCCTTTAATAAATCTATATTAATTGACTAAATTACCCTTGTAATTAATTAAGATGATATTTTTCAATTATATTTAATTCAATAATATATATTAATTACTTTCTATAAATAAGTAAATTTGATTGGCCCACATTTATGCATACAATAACACAATAGATACTCTAAACAAAATAACCTAAGCCTATATATATATATATATATATATATATATATATATATATATATATATATATATATATATATATATATATCTTTATTACTTATTATCAAGGTTGCAAAAAACGTTAGACGTTAGCTAGTCGGTGGACTAGGGTCTAGGGATTAATCGGCGAGGCGGGGATTAATCGGGGACCATTAATTATTAAGAGAATTATTCAGAAATTTATAAATCTAACTTTAATCGTAAGAATATAAATAAATAAGCATAAAAGTTTAAGAATAAGTTTAACAAGAACAACAATTTATCATCCAATTAATAAGAAATGTTATTCAAATTTTAATATATCTTAAGAAAAGAAGTAAATTTGGGTATTTGTATATTTGAAAACATAGAAATTTTGAAAATTTTGGAGAAAAACTTTGAAATTTAAATTTTTAAAATTTTTTTATATATTAGTTGAACATTGAAATACTATGAACTTTTGAAATTTTAAAAATTTTGGTTTAATATTTAAAAATTTCAGAATTTGAAAATTTGGCCGATTAGGCCGCCTAGGACCGACTAGAACCGCCTAGGACCGATTAGAACCGTCTAGCTTCGACTTTGACCCCCTTTGACCAAAACCGATTAAGCCGACCGATTAGCCTTAATCCTATTCGGTTGAAGACCGCCTAGCGATTAATCGGCCGCCTAGACCGATTTTTACAACACTGCTTATTATGCAAATTTGGTCAAAGGCTGAATTTTAAGAGGTACAAGCCCTTATTGCTTCATGTATAATGATTTTATGCTTTGAAATCTAATCCGGTCAATTTGAGTATATAAGGATAAGTAAGAACTCGGTAACATTAAGCACATTTTGAATTGGTCAAAGATGAACGGGTATTCCACATATTTTGCCAACTGAATCGGTCAAGTGAGAATGTTGGTCAAGTGAGAATGCTCGATTTTACCATCTATATCCACCATAAAAGAAAAAAGAAACAGGAGGCTTGATTATGTTGTCAATGAAAGATCCATGTGGTTTTGTTCTTTTATTTTAGAAATCTGACATTTGTATGTTTGTTTGTTGTGCATCTTCAAGAACAGACAATATGATTTTCATCCACGATCCATCTCTTCAGGTTTGATCTATCTCTCTCACCATGAGAAACCCTAATCAATTCAATCCCTGTATGTCTATTCCTCTTTAGTTCCTTTGCATCATCGTCTCAATGCTCTCCATTATGTGTTAACAAAACCACCACCACCACTCTCTTCCCTAGCCAGTGACCTCCACCAACACTCACGCGCCGCCGCTGCTTTCCCTCTCCGCCAAGAACGCTGTTGCGATTGCTTTTACTCTCCGCCAATGCTTACTTCGGCGTGGGGGAGGTGGTTTGAGTTATTTTTTTCGATATGGGTTTTTATTTATCATCCTTTGCAGGAACAACTATTGTATTAGATTACTTAATGATTCAAAAGTTTTTTGAGATAAAACTTAGGAATGAAGCAGCAAAAAGATGCCTAAGATTCATTGACACCGCCACCAGGTGCTCTCTCTCTCTCTCTCATTGGATTTTGTTTGATTTCATGTTCAATTTCTTCTGTTTTGTTGCTGGCCCCTCTCTTGCATCATCGATTCAGGTACAGGACCTAGCCCTGTTTCAATCTTCATCAATTGGTGGGTTTTTTTTTCCTATTTTAGATTTCAATTTACGCTTCTTATAATTAATATCTACAAAATCGAAATTAAATCTTTGATTTTCTTTGTCTTCCTTTTGGTTTTGGTTTGATTCTTGAATGCCGATTGATTTCTTTTCATTTTGCCGGAATAAATTTGGTTTCTTGTACACTTTTCCTTCCTCCCCTTTTCACCATTTCTAGATTTAAACTCCCCTATATCACCTCCACCCTGTTTCTTCTCTACCCAACAGCCGACGGCCACAACAATCGCGCCACCATGTCTTCCATACTACATGTAGTTGCCGTCAGTTGCCTCCACTAGGATCTAAAGAGAATTTATGGGATGATCACCATTCACTATGTAACATTGTAAGTTCTTCAAATTAATTCATGTTTTTTTTGTTTAATTTTATTTTGGTATCAAAATAGATCCAAAACAGGTGAAACCTAAGGATTTAAGTGTCGTCTTCCCCCCCCCCCCCCCATCTCTCTCTCTCTCTCTCTCTGATCCACAATTTGGGTTTTTTGCTCTTAACTTTGTTTTCATTCCCTTATGCATATGAATTAAAAAGATGGGGTTGAATCATTTTTGTTTTCTAAATTACTTACATGCTTACTTGCATTTTTGATTTATGATACAGGTTAGCACAAGTAAATGTGCAGATGGTGGATTAAGGTATGTTTTCTTTGACTTTTTGATTTATATTTCCTGGAAATATGATTTTTTTTTGAAGTAAGGCCCAATCAAAGCTTAGTAGCCCACCCTGAATCTGCAGATGATGATAATCATGTTGCATGATGTCTAGAGGCTAATATCAGAGCTTCTAAACAAAAATGGTATTTTTCTTTGATAAATGTTACACAACTCTTTACATATTTGTTATTTTGATTTTAAGGTTGCAATCCTTTTGTGTATATTTTTTGGCTAATTCAGTGAAACCCCACAAAAAGACAATATGGACAAAATTTATGGTGAGTTAAGTTGGGAGGTTTATGACTCCCTACTGCCTTAGGAACTCAATCAGGTATGTTTACATTTTATTCCTATATATTTTTTGTTGGTTTTCATTTTGTAACATCTTTGGGTATTTTGTTCAGAAAAAAAAGGGTTAGAAATAAAGGGCAGTTTGGTCTTTTTTTGGTTAATGTCATATGTGATGGTTGTTGGTCGGCCTATATAAGTTATCCATACTCTGGTAGGCATGGGAAAGTTGGTGTGGTGCTCTGAATATGGTGCAAAAATAAGAACAAAGGGCATTATTGTCTTTTTTGGATTTTGTCAATTGAGGAACCTCTTGTTAATTATCTTATATTTTCATTCATAGTTTTAACATCTTAACTAATTGGTTACAAATATTGATGTCTAACGTATGAAATTCATAATATTCAGATTTTTATATTCCATTTGTCAAATATGGATTCCAAATTTGCTAATTTGTTCTCTGGTAGTTTGTTAAGGGTATATTTGTTATTTACATAATCAGCTAGCATGTTATTACTTCAGGTCTTCTTCAAATGTTAATGTGAGATGTTTTCTAAAGCATATTCTCACCCCCATTGCTGTTTTTTACATAATTGTTGTCCATTCTTTGTAGAATTGATGATTTCATTCAGGGCTGGTCCAAGCATAGGGCGATCTAGCGACCTGGGCCACTGCCCAGGGCATCACTGTGAGGGGTGCATAAAAATTAGTCCATGTCTTATGGGCATATTAATTTTATGTACAATCTTTGATCGGGTTTTAAGAAAGGCATGAGGCATAGACTAATAGAAGGGGCAGAAGGCGGCAAAATACAGCTCAACAATCACGCGTAAAAATTAGAAAACAAGGAGTCAAACAGACGTAATAATCACGGCCAAAATCAGAAATAGACTGTCTTGAGTCTTGCAAGCAAAAGTAAAAAAATTATTTCTTTAAGAAGCTACATTTTTTGTTCTTTGCTTGCATTCCCAAACTCTTAAATATGAAATTCTAAATATGAAATCAAAAACAAAAAACGTATTATTTGTGTTTTGTTTCTTTTCTTTTCGAGAATTCTAAATGCATAGCCGATAAATTGTCAAGTGGAATCGTCTGTGCGTGGTCTGGGGCAGTTCGAGAAGTATGGAAAGATGAATCCGGGTAAATTTTCTGGTTTTATGATTTTGATTTTATATGTTGGCAAAAATTTATGAGTTTTGTATTTATACTTAGAGCCTAAACTGGACGGTTTTGCCCTTGATGCGAGTTTGATTGATGATGTTATCTTGAGCTGCTGATGTGTAACCTACTATTGATCAAAGTTGGACGATTTTACCCCTGAAGATGGTATTTGCAATTTCAAGTTGATTTGGGTGTTGCTTGTAATCTTGCTGATCTCTTATGCTAGGATGTGTGATGATAACTAGATCAAGTTTTATTTGCAAGGTTCTTACATGTTCAGATTTTCAAATTGGGGTTGATTTTTTGGCTGATGTTGATAATGCTAAATCACTGGTGATGAGGCTTTGTAATATTTACAATTGATTTCTTGATTGTGTTCATCAATTTTTCTTTCTTGTATTTTTTTCCGGTTTCACTAGCTATGTTTTGTATAGGT